TAGTTCCAATCTTAGGGCCTAAGAATAATGAATGCTAAATATAAAAGATCGTGTGTGTTATTGGTTTAATTGTAATTGGACCAATTATATAGCAGTATAGAGACATTGATATCTTCACATTCTAGGTTTCAGTTCTACGGTATCTCGGATTAGCATGTCAATCCCGCTATAGCAATTTATGAACATACTTGTTTACAGTATTTCATGCTCTCTAGTTGATTTTAATCAAAACCTATTATTCTTTCCTGTACAATTGAAATCGATATACAATGATAACAATACAGAAAAATTATTTGTGTCTGCAGGATGGAGAACAATTACTTTCAATTAATTTAGAAAAAAAATGATTTTATATATATATATCATGAGCTCATATATGAACTATCTGCATTTCAGCATAGTTATTGATATATATAAAAAGAAATCAATACTATTTGCTCCTGAAATGTGCAATGAGTTATTGTAATTACTTTTCACATTGAATAATTTAACAATTAATGTGATCATAATATGCTTTAAGATAATAGTACATATTAAAGTATTATATTTTATTATTGACCAACTTAACTGTACATCATTTTGTTTATTGCGAATTGTGTAAATATTAGGAATATTTGAATTAATTCTGAAAAAATAACAAAATTTATCTTGCATAATCGCTTAATAAAATTAATGCGATTCGTGCGTTCATATTGATCTGAATACTTTAAACACGTTACAAAGAGCCGATACGTACGATCATAATATTGTCCATGGAATTCGAATACGCCCGTGTTTAAAAATTGATATTACTTCATTTTGCGGCTTGCTGCTCTGTTATAAATTCATCGATTACTTCGAATGCTATTTAAAGCAGACAAATTAATTATTTTCTACTTGATTGGTCTGTATTGTACCTCTTTTTTATTGCATAATTTTTAACATATAAATCCTACTTCGTCTGCAAGTGCATCTTTTCCATAAGTTTGGTAAGATTTGGGAACCTAGTAAATTCTTTGAAGCATGAAAAATGGCATATCATTTTATGAAAAGTTATGCAGTGAAAAATATCATATCGTATAACGCATATAAAAAAAAGAGGTATTGAACAAATAGAATATAACGTTACACTTTATTTAAGGCTTACTTTGAAAAAAGTTCATCTTTAAAAAAAGAATTGTATGTTCTGCACATTATTATTATTATTATTACTATCATTATTATTATTATTGTCAAAATGCACTTTGTTTGCTGTATGTTTTGTTTTAATAACCCAAAAAGGCACTCCTTATAAAGCTTTTGTTGATTTCAGTTCTCCATATCCCACATTTCCAGTTGGTTCTAAGCTATATAGTTCATAATGTAAAAATACAGCTTCTTATAAATAATATTTAACAGTTAATTAGTTCTAATTTAACTTGTACTATGTATGAATAATCTTCCAAGAATGGTGCAAAATAAGTTTCATGTTACAGAACATTATGTTTATAATATGCAGATTTCTAATGTCATGTTACAAATACCAAGGAATATGGTTAATATTGTTGCATCTTGTTTTAATGTGAGTATTCATTTTACGCTCTTCCTTCGTCTCAAAGAGGGCTTCCACTGTGAAGGTCATTGTGATTATAAAATGGCTAATGCATTATTTCATATATATATGTATACATACGTGGAACGAATAATAATTGTGTTCTACTTTCTAATTGCAAAAGCGAGAATCGTAATATTTTACGTTTGTCATGATCGAATTGATGATGAATCGCGCCTCTAATTTATGAACTTAGTATTAATGTAATGATGAATTAACAGCAAACTTTATTACATTTATTATTTTTATAATGTTAGAGAACATAGGAATAAAATTACTGCTAAATCGTGGATATAGAAACATTGGCAATCTGTATGCAAAATGTACAATAAAATAAGAACTTTAATGTAGTCTGATAAAGTTTTTATTTTATTTTTGACTTAAAAATCTTAACGTATGAAACTGACTTGTATTCTATTCTTTCCTTTTTAAATAATCAATAAACTGTGAATATGCATAGAAACTTTCAGTCGAATTATTACATAATAATTCTCTCTTTTGCAATGGCAATATATGTATATACTATACATTTATATACAGTATATTATTTATAGATGTAATACATAAGTAGCCACATATTATAAAGTCTGTATGTTACTTGTTTACTTCGTAAGCATTAATTACTTAAATTTTACTATGTTTCGTATAAATTGCATTGGATTGTTTATCATATGTGACCTCTCAGAATTTGTTAGGATGCCAACATCTTTATAAGTATGTTCATCCTGTATCTAAAAAACGCAGTATATTTTTCTATCTGTAATGCTTAGCGATAAATATAAGTTCGGGCCTATCTTTAATGGTATTGTATAATAATTTGTAGAGTGTGCATGATTTATTTTCATTATATACATGCTGCCTACGATGTAAAAAAATTATTAGCAATCGATATCTTCAAAATACGTTATAAAACATCCTGAGAAGTTTAATAAGGATACAATAATAAACGAGAGTCAGACAATGTACTTGTTCTTTCCATGAAACTCAAAGAGCTGGTACTTCACTTTTTTCCCCACAATGTTAATACTTAATATTAATTTTTACCTCATTTAAGGGAATAAATTTTAGTAAATTTGAAATGGGGAACAACGATGTAATACTAAGTACGCGCAGTCGACGTAGATCTGTGATGGCGCTAAAGTTGAATACATTAAGGTTCACGTGGATCACCGTGCGTTTGAGGGATGAACATGTGAATGTACGGCATGTTGACTTTTTCCTATTTGTTTCAACTTTATTTTCTTTAATATATTAACGTATGCAAATAAGAGTGTCCGAAGAATTAAAGAGTAACGATGAAAGGTCCTTACAAGGTATATTAATTTTAATTGAAAATACTTCAACGTTGTATAACCTTAAACATAAACAGATTTGTAATAGAAACATTGTGTATTTTAGGCAAACATTAATGACTTTATGAATGATTCTGACGAGTCAGGATCTGAAAGTGTTCACTATTCTGACGATGATATTAATAACATTGATGACATGAAAAATAAATCTGCTAAATATGAAAAATCAGAAGATGAAGATGAAGAAGATGAAGTGGAAGAGGAAGACGATGAAGAAATACAAGAAGACAGCATACAAGGGAATATGCTTGTAATGACTGATAAAAAAAGAAAAAAAGTTATCGATGATGTTATAGATTCCAAGCCAAAAAAGAAAAAGAAAATGCATAGTGAACTTTATAAACCACCAACAGTTGAAGAATTAAATCAACTTAGAGAGACAGAAAATTTATTTCATTCCAATTTGTTCAGACTACAAATAGAGGAGATGTTAAATGAAATTAGAATTAAAGACAAATATAAACGTTTACTTGATGCTTGGTTTCAAAAACTAGAGATGACTATAAACAAGATAAAAGAAACAGAGGAGTATCAGGTAAGTTTTTTGAATTAAGATGTTACTTATAGTAATGAAGTTGTGTATCTTAAAATATAACTTTAGCTTTCAGGCAAAAAGTTGAAGAAAAGATTGAATGTTCATATACCAATGCCTTGTGTACCTGATGATACAAAAATAACATTTCAATTTTGTAAACCAACCCAGATTGCTTTCATAGGTTCCTATGTATATAATGCTACAGTTGGTCCAAATATTACTGTGGATATAATGATTGAAATGCCTGCAAAAATGTTTAAAAAATTAGACTATCAAAATTATAGATATATTAAAAAGAAAGCTATATATTTAGCATACATAGCATCTAGCATTACCAATGATATTGCAGAAGAAAAAAAGTTTGTTGGAGATAATTTAAGACCAATGTTGAAGATTGTGCCAAGTGGAAAATTAGGTAGAAAAATTAATGTACTGTTGCATGTAACAGCTCAAGAAGAGAGTTTCAAATTAAATAGATTTTTACCAGAAAAAAATAGTGTTAGACCTGGATGGTTTTTCTCGAAGGAAACAGATGGTATACTATAAATATTTTCTTCTTTAAAACTTTTACCACTACATCATATTTAAAAAAATCATTATAGTTGCAGAAAATTTACCACCAACACCGCATTACAATTCTATAATTCTTCGCGATTTAGTGGTCTCAAGAATAAACTCGGAAAATTTAAATATAATTAAAGAATATCCAAATCTGAGGGATGGTATTATATTACTAAAGATATGGCTAGTTCAGCGTGAATTGATAAAAGGCTTTGAGGGCTTCAATGGATATGTTATAACAATGTTTGTTCTATATTTATTATCTATTAAGAAATTAAATACGTTTATGAGTAGCTACCAGATAGTAAGAAACGTGTGGCATCATTTAGGTAAAGTATTTTTTTCATTAGATGCTAAATAATTGAATATTTTATGAGTATTAATATTCTTTGATTTATTAGTGCAAGTTAGTTGGCACGAAACTGGCATAACAATGAGTCAAAAGGAAGATAGTAATGATATGGTATTGAATTATAAAAATTATTACGACTGTGTCTTCTTGGACAGCACTGGTTACAATAATATAGCGGCACATATATCTAAAGATAATTTTTCTTGGATCCAAAGAGAAGCAGAACTTTGTTTGGAACACTTGGATAGTGTACATGCAAATAGTTTTCAATCTCTTTTCATGAGAAAAGTACCATTTTATAGAGCCTTTGATCACATTATATGGTAATTATATAAACGCTATAATTATTTCAATTGCTGTATAAGATGATAATATTAATTAGACATTTAGTTTGAAGGATTCCTGGACAATGAAAAGGGTAGTACAGAATAAGTCAAATAGCAATGATAAGTTAGATTATGGACCTAATTATCATAATCAAGCAATAAAACTAATTTATAATGTACTGAAACGAGGATTAACAAACAGAGTACATCGCATTTGTGTATTGCCAAACGATTTCACAGAATGGGAGTGTACAGAAAACAGTTCTGATGATATCGGACAGATTTCTATCGGATTAGAATTAAATTCGGAGTTTTGCTTTAGTGCAGTGGATAAAGGGCCTGAAGCAAATTTACCGGAAGTGAGTACATACCTTAGACAGAGGAAAATGAATTACGCCGAAACGATTTTATTAATGGGCTATTGTACATTAGGCAGCAGAATTCAGAAATTTCTGGGGGACAAAATCAGAATTACGTCGGTTCAAAGATGGATCTATCCGCGAAGCTGTAGTTTGGTCGGAAGACAAAACAGCCTCGTCAAGAAGATTTATATGTAAAAGAATTGTAGGTTTCTTATTCAGGAGAAAGCTTGGTTTAAATAAAGACAAGTTCCTGTACGTTGCCCAAGAAATGGAATGCCTCTTACAATTACAAAAGGTAATTACAGTTATTTTTGTCGTCTTAGTGGTTTCATTAATTGAACATTGTTTTCAAACATTTAGGTTGAAATAACGCATTTCGCTTACGGTACTGGGGAAGAAGCTACGTTGAGATTGATAAATGTATTTAATAATCTTGAAAAACAATTGATGAATCTAACGGATATTCCTTTATCGATCCATGGAGTTCAAGGATCCAGTGCAGTCTTTCGATACACGGATGTTTTCCCACCGATCGCAACAGTTTATCCACCCGATAATCGACTCATTAAGGAACACAAGAATTATTTAATCTTATCAGAAAATGTAACTTCATCTCCCAGATACGTTACTCCGCTTGATGTGTGTCTGCAATTGTCGACAAGTGGAAAATGGCCAGATGAACTGGAAGCTTTCAGAAAAACAAAAGCCGCTTTTCATTTACAAATTGCAGAATGTCTTAGGAAACAATACATGTCAATAGTGAATGCAAACTACTCGCATATTGATCTGTACAAGGTAATTACATTTAATCATATTACATAGCACGACCCAAAGTCCTTTATCTAAATGTGTTAGCATCTTCTACGATGTAATCTATGGAGAAAAAATATGAGATAATTGTTGAAATTCTTAGGAAGGATTCGTTTTTCGCTTGCGGGTAGCGCATCAAAAGGAAATTGCCTGTTTAAAACAACAGGTGACAGAAGATGGAGTTAAACAGTACAAAGATAACGACGAATCAATTGAATTAGAAAGCAAATTGTTTGAATTGCCAAAATTAACTAGTGCTTTACACGGGTAAGGATAATTAATAAATAAAAAATGGAAACATGTCCGTATATGACTAGAGTAAATGATTCCATTCATGTGGTAGATTACATGTTCAACAACCGTCCTTTGGAGCAGCTTGTTGTCTAACAAAACGATGGCTTTCTGCTCAGTTATTGGATGATTCCCACATACCGGATATCGTTGTTGAGTTACTTGTAGCTTCTATGTACTTAACACCAGCTCCGTACAGGCCTGCTCAGATGCCTCAAGTAGCCTTTCTGAGAATATTGGAAATTTTCGCGAGAGGTCACTGGAACACGGATCCTGTGATTGTGAATTTTAACTATGAAATGACTAGTAAGTAACACTATTATTAAGTATTATTATGTTTACTGTCATTAGTATACTATTCGTAATTATAGAGGAAGAAATTGCTGCTGTGGAAAATCTATTCGGATCATCTCGTGACTCTTTACCACCATTATTCATATCTACTCCTTATGATCAACAAGGATCATTATGGACAAAGAAAGTGCCCAGTACTCTAGTTTTAAATCGTATCACTGCTTTGGCAAGACAGACTTTAAAATCATTCGAAGATCAACTTTCCACAAGAATTTGGTTAGACGTCAGGGCTTTGTTTAGGCCACCACTCACAGAGTACGACTGTTTAATACATTTGAAGCCACATATGATTCCTAGAAGGAGGCAAGCAATTGATGTCGATAGAGAGTGTTCTGTCTCTAGCATACATCCATACAAGATGCACTCTGCACAAAAGATACCAGTTATTGATTTTGATCCTGTACAACTTTTCTTAAAAGAACTAAGAGTAAGTCTAAGTATTACTTTTATGTAACGCCATATATTGATGATATCTTGATGATAGTTTAATTTAATATGTACGTTTGTGGTTTTAGAATGGATACGACGAATTCGCCCTCTTCTTTTACGACACCTATGGTGGCACGGTAATAGGAGTATTATTTAAACCCTCTGCGTTAGAAACCAAAGACTTCAAAGTCACGAATATTAATTGTCGAAAGTGTAACGACGACGGTCAGCTGGTATTAAATATCTCGGCAATGATTCAAGATTTTTATATACTCGGGAAAGATGTAATAAAAGCGATCGATGTTCAATCGAAAAGATTTTCTTTGACATGATGATTTCATTCGAAGAAATATTAGGCTACATTTCGTATTGACACAGTTCAGTTTTAATGTAAATATTTAAAAATTCATATTTGTATTGTACAACGAACAATGTATACATAATTTGAAATGTATATGATGCTCGATAAATTTATTTGAATAATGTAAAGATGTTCAATAAATTTATTTGAATAAATATACATATACGTATAAAAGGGTAAGGATTATAAAATATTCCGTAATGTTATGTTAGTTTACTTTATAAATCATTTTTATAAAAAATATATAAAACAATAATTTACAGACTGATGGGTTTTTATTATTGTTAATATGGGTAGCTCGTATTATTTCATCATTAGAGATCTTATTTCATTGTTTAATTTCTTAATAATCGTATCTTCATTCGAGTAACTACCAGTTTTTAAAAGAGACTCGCGTTCTTCCAACAGTGCTTGTAATCGTTCGTCACATTCCTCTGATTTTTTAAAGAAATGTTTACTGTTATTTTGTTGTATTTTTGAACTGACAGTTGGTGTGAAAACCTGACAATAAGGATCTTTCTCAAAGAAAGTAGGTTTCTGTTTGATCACGTCAATTTCCTTTTGAATTTTATTCAACAATGTTTGATCATCGGTTAAAGCAGTAGAATCCACACACAGCACCTCTTCTAAGCTATGTAACATGCAATAAGTATAATGTAATTATCTTAATGAAACTTTAAATATTAATTTCTTTTGGTTGTTAGTTTATACATACTCTATATTCTTTAATTCCTCTTTACTATTTTTTATTTGAGTTTTCATAGCTTGCTGAAATTCGTTTTTCATTCTATGCATTTCACGAGCTGCTGTCGCCCACTTTTCTTTAAAGAATAATTTACTTTCTTGCGCCATTTGTAATTTTTCTTCTAGCGTTTTTAACTCTTGCAGCAATGTTGCTGTTTGATCTTGAGTTAAAGACCCTTTCTGATACGTTTCTAATTCTTCCCCCTGCTTTTTTACAAGCAACTGTAACTTTTCATTTTCTGTACTTAATTGTTCAACTTGTGTTTCTAAGATAGTTTTCCTATGCTCGAGCGCATTAATCTACAAAGTATTAAAAATATAACATTTTTTTTGCATTCATTAAGGGGTAAGCAGTATTACCGACCTTTGACATATGTTCTTCTTGCATCGTGTGATATGATTCTCTGAGCTCACGTAATTTTGTCTCGTATGTCCAATGTAGTTCTTCATTTGCTTTAATTAATCGCGTTTCCTTTTCAAGGCTTTTTAGCCTCCGTGTTCTCAAATCCTCGGTAGCGTTATTTAAACTATTTGCTAACATCTTACATTGTTCGACACTACATGCAAGCTTTGCTTCTAAACTTTCTCTATGCTTTTGCCATTCTTCACTTAATAAATTTAAATGACGATCTTCCTTCCTTTTTAACTAAATTATCGAAATATCTGTAATATATGTTCTCTATGCGTATACTTACATTAAGATTATATTTCACCTCAACTTTAAATATTTCTTTTTGCCGTTCTTTCCATGTTTCCAACTCGTCAACTATTTTATATGCTAAACTATCATCTAAAATTGGAGGTCCTAAATTCTCACCTAATTTGAATTAATAAATAGCAAAGATTAATAAATGTTTCGATTTATATACTATTGTGTTTAATTAATGTTCTAACTCACTAGATGTTTGCTTTTTCATTCTATAGTATGGACCATGATCCTCTAAATTCATCATAATATCTAAGTGGCCAATAACGTTCTGATCCATGTCGTATAATGGAGCGTCGCATTGGCATTCAGACTGTTAATTGTATATAAAATTTTAGTCCAGATCTGCATATATTTATATTCCATTACCCTCTCATATTATATGTTACCTTCGTTTGATGAAACAATTGTTTTACGTCGACTATGCATTGAGATATACAAGTTTTAGAAGTTTCCTGTATTTTATATATACTAATTTTCGGTGGGAAAGACAACAATAAATGTTTAATTTCATCTGTTGCTGATATAAAATGTAATTTACATCCTACATCATGTAACTTTGTTTTTTCTCCTAATACAAGTGGTATTTTTGGATAAAAGATTGATGTAATGTCTGCCTTTGGATGATGGAACCTGCATTCATTATAAAAGTAGATCTTCATTATGGTAATCAATTTCTGTTTAAATCTCCGCATCTCTACATACCGAATTTCAATGTTTGGCACAGTCAATTTTGATGACATTGATTTGATTGTTAGCAATAAAATATTTAAACAATAACAATGATATGTTTCTACATTTTTGGAACAACTATTAAGACTACATTGACATGGAAACTTGTCAAGCGATTGTGAATATATAGGTTTAATTGGTTGATTCCTTATGTGTTCATAACTCAAGGACTGCTTGTTGAGCATATTATATCCATTTGAGAAATTGAATGTTTGAAGTCCAGTAGTGTATTTTCCAAAGTCACCAGCAGGATTCCTATGACAATCTACTTCACTATAATTCTGAAAGTCATATTTACATGAATTTTAAAATAATCATCCTTAAATCGATTCCTTTGTTAAATTTAATTTTCATTGATTCCAATTAAAAATTTACGATTAAACGACTACCTGTTTCCAATCATTCATTTGTTCTTTAGAAGGATTAAGGGGGATTATATCATTGGACATTGTATTCGGTATATTCATTATTATTTCTGTTTTACCTCCTATATATTGTAATTTTAATTGTACATCAAGGTACGAGTTATTACATTCTACTTCACCATTCTCAGTAGAATCCTTTTTATATAGGTGACAACGGTAATTTAAAATGCTACTATTGTTCTCTGAAGCTCTGAGAAACTCCTCAATATTATCAGCAGTAACTAATGATTGCAAATTAATGTTTGATTCAGCTATTACATTATCTTTATATTTCAAATATACAATCAAAAATGGTTTCACTTGTAAATATGATTTCAAAAGTTTCAATGAACTCCTAATCCTTATTACAATTTTTTCATTAAGTGTCCAAAAGTCACCATACTCCTTTTTAGATTGATTGAAGTATATATTGTTTTCTAGTATTTTACACCAAAAATATAAATTATTTTTCAGGTCAGAATAGTATTTTGCTGGTAATAACGAATCTACATTTGCTGCAGATATGGCAGTAATATTCATCAAGAATAGTTCATGACAAGTATCTATGGGACCCAACTGTATAAGACGTTCATCACGCAGTAAAACTGGAGTTACTTTATCATCTTGCAACTGTATTTGAACAAATTCTTTTGAATTTTTTGACTGTAATTTTGTGTTATATAAAATTTGTAAATAATTATATTATCTAAGCACATCAATGTGTGTTTGCCTTCTTCTACATCATAAATACATAAAATTCTGTAGTCTGATCATAAAATATTTACCTCTACATGACAATTTAATGTTCCAGATTCTTGATCATGAATGCTTAAACCAAGAAGCAGTTCAGGTTTATGCATTTTCAGATTACTTTTCAATCCTAACAGTTTATGCCAACTAGTTTTTACACTAATGTCCTCATTTTTAGAAAATACCTGTGCAGATCTTAGACTAAGCAGAAGATATCCCAATTTCTCTTTACTATCATTGCTTTTAACAATGAAACATTCTAATTTTAAGGGAACTTGTCCAGATCTCATCCTATAAAATAAACGTGAGATTTTAAAAATATTCTCCCTACAAGCCATTAATTTTCTTATAATACATACTTCCTTAATCTATTTTTATCGACTTCCCAAACCAAGTCGTGATCATACTGAGGATTAGGACTGGGATCAATTGCTTCAGTCTCTAACAAATGCCCATTTAAAGTTGCAGTTATCGATGTTGGTAATAAAATTTGTTCAAAACCTTTACCTACAGACACGAGGAAAATTTTTATATTTTGTATAATAATTAGTTCCTTGTTAATTTAACAGAAACAGAAGACAGAAGGACTTGTGTAATATTTCATGAACATCGAAGAGTATATTCGAATAATTTGTAGTTTTATTCATTATAATACATTGTTTTACAAGTAATTCGTATTTGTTTACAACTACTTGAGCACAACAAAATCGTTACAGAAAGGTTAATAAACGATGATCAATGTGATTTACCTTCTTTTATGTTCAATACGATTCGTACATCAGAACTCGTTAACTCTTCCATGTTACTGCAATATCATACCCAAAAATAATCAAAATATCCTCTGGAAATATGTAAGTTACATCAAAGAAATCGCTAAAATTCAAATCGGTCTCCATGGAAACGCGGACATTTTCCGCCACAACACATTCTCCCAATAATCCGACCGTTCAATCAAACGCCTAATCCCATTTGAGACATAAAATCCCGACAAGCGCAATAATTCTCAAAAAACAACTGGCATCGTTAACTTTCCATTAAGTTTCACCTTTCATTCAATTCGAAAATTCAAAATCAACGCCATGATTCTTGTCATCGGATAGATACAGATAAACAGATAATTAGCCAAGAGTAATCGCTTGGTAACAATATCAAAACATCTCTCAAAAAGATTATCTCTTCATCTCGATCGGTCCGCAACGGGCGTACATTGACCGACTGTACCGCACGAGTTTCTTTCATTAAAAAAAGAAAGAAAAAAAAGAAAAGAACCGTATTAAAAGACGACATACATCCGATCCAGATAAACACGAATTGTTTTTATCAATGGAAAAATCGTTCGGAACCGTGCGCGAGTATATTGTTAGCGGTCGTGGAAAAGGGAGGGCGTCAGCGTCGTGGTAGGACGTTGGGAACGCGGCCTTATTTCGTGTCTCGGTTGGCAGCACTGTCGGCCTCGTAACAAATCTCACCCATGTCGAGTCGAGCGCGAGAGGCAGGAGCGTAAGCTTGTCCGCGATCGTTTGTCCGCGTTCGACGGCTCTTTCGTATAGCGTGCGTGCGATCGCTTGGGAGTACGGTACAGCTAGAAAAAAAACTAGGGACGTGTCCGTTCGGTCGAGGTTTCGGTGGAGAAATTCAGGAAGTGATAGAGAGAGGCATAGAG